CTGCGCGTCCTCAAGTCACCAAGGTGCTTATCGTAGAAGATAATCTTGTCAACCAGAAAGTGTTGCGTAAGCAGCTCACCAATCGAGGCATGGAAGTCCATGTTGCGAACCATGGAGGAGAAGCACTGGACAAGCTGATGCAGTCGACATATTGGCGTGATGCCGCCAGCATGACAGACCGGCTCGAGATCGGCGTGGTCCTCATGGTAAGTTGGCTTTGGCCGCCTTCGTGCCGTCTACGTTTCCACGACATACTAACGGAGAAATAGGACCAGGAAATGCCAGTCAGTAAGTGCAACGGAATACTCCAAGAGTTTCGACGTGGGGATGCATGTGCTTACCATTTGATATAGTGGACGGCTTGACGGCAACCCGCAAGATCCGAGAGTATGAAGCACAAGGAAAGCTTACAGGACATATACCCATTATTGCTGTGACGGCCAATGCGCGGTCGGAGCAGATTGCGGCCGCACTCCATGCGGGAATGGTGAGTCGTCTTTGCATTCTCCACGCAGCTGTGCGCTCGGTACGTACGGGCCCCGCTGACAGTCGTGGTGGCTGAATAGGATGATGTCGTCTCGAAGCCGTTTCGAATCCCAGATCTTGTGCCCAAGATCGACGAGCTCTTGGAGCAGTACCCGTTGCCGTGATGGGGATGGGGATGATGCAGCTGAGAAACAGGACCTCGAGAGTGGTGAGGGATTGACGACAGGTCAGTCAAGCGAGGGAAGTCAACAGAAGATTCTATAGCGGCGGGTGCGATGACAGAAGCACCCGGTTTTAATGAAAGTGCTGGTTGCCGACCATTTTACTCGCAGTGTGCTCAACCATGGCACTGGAACGCGAAGAAGGAGTAACTAGGTCAGGTACTGATAACAGCGAGGCTACAACTTTCAGCTCTCGGCGATGGATGGTCGAAAAACGCCACGCAATCAACGATGCAGCCTTGCGAGAGCAACTGCATATCTAGGTATCTATTGAAGTGGTCTGTACTTTCTTACTGCATGCATGAATGTATACCTCATGCATGAATGCATGAATGCATATGAAAGGCTGGCCGGACTGACCCCACGCAAGTTACACGGCGTGTACGTCTGTCCGTCTCGGACACGAACACGTCAAGGGTGTACAGCAGTAGTACATTACCACTCCAGATACACACATACATACATACACATACATACATGTATGCATACAGTACATACACTTACAGAACTTGCATGTCGGTTTTTCTCGTATGTGGCTTTGAGGTGAGGCGGTATATATAGAGGGAGAGGGAGGGACAAGGAGAGAGGGAGGGGGAGAGAGGGAGGGGGAGAGAGGAGAGAGAGAGGGAGAGAGGGAGAGAGAGTATAGAGCAAGCTATTACGCTCATGTCCTGATATGGCTTACCTACCTAGACGTCAAAAGTTCATATACAGTACCTTGCTTGAGAGATATATATATATAGTTTTACGAGAAGCCAATATCGCGTGTGGAGAGAGAGAGCGAGGAATCAATCAAGCTCAGTACTGTACATACCTTAGGCGAGCAGCGCTCTTCGGTAGCGAACGGAGACGTGCATACATGCACATATATATATTAGTCAGGTAGGAGGTATATGATGATATATCTGTTACAACTTCATCGTAAAGATCCACTACAGTACAGTTCGTTCTTTTCTTTTCATATTCCTAATTAGGTACATGTACTTTCTAGGAGGTACAGCTATGTTTTCACAGCATGGTAGAACGTGGCGGGCATGGATTAGGTCGGGTATGTACCTACACGTGTAGCAGGTAGGCTCTTTTTCCTTCTTTTCTTCTCTTCCCTCCTCTTTTCTTTCTTTCTTCCTTCCTTTTCGGCTCTAGTGTTGTCTTTTCTTTTTTTTTTCTTTTTGTTGGTTTGGGTCCCGTCGTTTGTGATAGATTATTGGGAGGGAAAAGAAAAAAGAAGAACAAGGCGGTGGTTGGCGGTGGGGTGGAGAATAGAATAGAACAAGAATGGAGAAATTGGAGGTAAGAATAAGAACAAGAACAAGAACAACGGGGTCTGGAACTTGCTCTTTCCTTCTCTCTCTCTCGCTGCAGTCTGTGGTTCTCTGGGTCTGGTTCTGGATGCTAGTGGATTGGATCGTACGCACATGTATGTAACCGAAACGAACGAACGAACGAACGAACGAACGAACGAATGAACGAATGAACGAATGAATGAACCAGTGCCAACCAACCAACCAACCAACCAACCAACCAGACTGTGTTGATGTTGTTGATGATGATGATGATGACGATGATGATGATCGGACGATTATCTTCCAATATCGAGACTGGATCTAGATGAGAACTGCCACTGCTTCTACTCCTACCTCCTCCTCGCAGCTACAATAGCTCGCTCCCAACCTCCCTCCCAGCCTCCCAGACAAGGTATATAAGGTACCTCATATATATACAGCTCAGGTTCAGGTAACCTACATTTTGGAGAGGGTAAGGTATGTCAGGGAGTTAGGTTTTTCTATACTTGTCCACATACCTTACCTTCTACCTTACATGTACATACATGTACCTTCTAACATACTTTTGGGCATTCGCGCAATCATCATCATCATCATCATCATAGACATCTTCATGGACAAGGGGAGCCCGAGCAGTAGTTGAGGATTTAAAATTTTCTTTTGTTGGATTCGATGCGATTGTGTCTGCTAGGGCTACCTATCTACCTACCCTACCTACCTCCTACCTTACCGATTGATCTTTGGGTATCGATGTACGTACATGAGTGGTAGCGAGGACTAGGTATGTACGGGTACATAGGAACTCAGTTAGCGACGACAATCGACAATGACGACAATGACGACGACGACGACAACTTAGACGGGCCTGCCCTGCCTGTCTGTTACCTGTTTGTGTTCAGCTTCACTGGTGAGAGAATCTCCATATATGTATAGAGTGTCAAGCGGGGATATACGGGCATGTAGATACCTACCTAGGTATAGAGGAGTAGTGTAGGAGGTAGGTCGGTTTTCATTCTCCCGCTGGCAACTGACGGGCGTCGGGGAGCGGCTCAGTAAGCCATGTGTACTGTACATATATGCGTGCGTGCGTGCGTCCCACGCGTGAGTGCGTGCAGTTTGTTGGGTCCACTTACACACATATACATACAGTACACACCAACACATACACACCAACATAGGTAGACACACATGCAACTTTGGGCGAAATTGGGAATGGCTTTCTATACGATGTACAGGTACAGGTACAGGTACTATATATCTTGCATCTTTTGTCGATTAAATATATATATAGACGGGAGACACTCTTTCTGTAACGGGATTGAACGCCTCATTCTCTCTCAATCCCACTCTCTTTCTGTAGCCTAGACCTGTCTGTCTGTCTGTCTGTCTGTCTGTCTGTCTGTCTGGAGAAGCGAATCGCTCGGTAAGATAGGTTAGGAAGTAAGGTAAGTAGTTCTCTCTCTCTCTCTCCTCTCTCTCTCTCTCTCTCTCTCTCTCTCTCTCTCTCTCTCTCTCTCTCTCTCTCTCTCTCTCTCTTCTCTCCTCTCCCCTCCCCTCCCCTCCTCTCCTCTATGAATCTGCAAAGTCCTTCAAGAGGAATGACCATGCCCATCTCACCACCCCGCCTCTAGCTGGCTGGCCCTACTCCTAGAAACTCCAGCTCCAGCTCCAGATCCTAGGTAAATACATATTCTAGTAGTTGTTATTATTAAAGAAAAGAAAACGAAACCAAACAATATCACCGCTGCCCGTCGCCCGCCCGCCCGCCCGACAGACAGACAGACAGATAGCCCAAGTCGGTTGAACATCGGCCGGGTTGTTGATGCAAGCACATACAGGTAGGTACAGTACTTGTAAGGTATACAATCATGCTCGATGATGCAACCCCGCGAACATGACGATACATGTACCTAGGTAGGTATAGGGTCTATAGAATGGGATGGGGATGAATGTCCGGGTAAAGTACAGGTACAGTATCATTCCAAAAAAAAAGTTACAGGTACAGGTAGGTTTTAGCCTTTTAGAGTAGTAGTAGTAGAGTAGAAAGGTGGAGGTACCTAAATAAGGTACATTAAACATGTATTGGTCCCCCCTTTCCATATTGGAAACCCCGCTCGACAACATGAGCAAGCCTCCACTCGGGCGGTATGCGGTACCAGACGGTAATCGGGGGGACAGACTGGACAGGAGGGGGGGAGTGATGACACTGCACCACGATTTCTTTTCGTCATCGTCATCATCATCATCATCGTCATCATCATCATCTTGTATCTTTGTAGTCTTGATGAGGTACCTGTACTGTACCTTATCGACCTAGGAGGTACACTGGTCTTCTTCTTTAGTAAGCTCGATTGTCCCAAAGGAGAAAAAAAGGAGAATAAATACCTACTGTAGAATAAGAGAAGATGCCCGGGCAGTGCGGGGAGTGAGTGATCAAAATCCATCACTACATACAGAACAAGTCTTGATTTCTTCTTCGCAATCTCGCTTTGGGAACGAGGCACACGGTGGTAGGGCCCTCCTCCCCGTCATCGACAGGAGGATCCATCGAAAAAAAAAGATACATGTCTAGTGTGTGTGTGAGAGTGTGTGTGTGTGCGTCGGTCGGGTGTGTCCTGCAGGGACGGGGGACACGAGTTTTGACCGGTCTTTAGGCTGGAGACGTCACCTGTAGGGGTGTGGTCCCACGGTGTATCAAGTCTTCGGTTCTAGATGAACCATTTCCATCACTCGTATCCACTGTTTACGCATTATGCATGCATGGGGAGGGGTCAGGATGTATATCAGTATATTGGCAGAGCTGCAGCACGCACTCGCTCCCATCAGCCATGCCACCTCATGGTAGTGTACCGTCAGTAAGGTAGGTAGATAACAGCCTACCACGCCGAGTGATGATACTCGGCTATCAGCCTCGGTATGGATGACCATATCTCTTGTCCAAAGGCACATCCATCGGGGGCAGGAGGAGATGGGGAGGATGGGGAGGATGGACATGGGACACCATGGTACACAGACACCCGACAGCACATTCCTACTCGCCCGCGTCCAGTACAAGGTTTCCAACCCACTGTCTCTGCTTTCGGCCGTCGGTTCCAGCAACCAGCCTGCTGGGTCACCAGACGTTTCTCTGTCACCAGCCGCCAGCGAGTGGTCGTAGCCGAAGCCGCCACCACTCGTGTTGGTAATTGGCGTCACGCACAAAGCAAAGACGTCAGATCCGCTCGGTGGTTGTTGTGTGTATGGGTGTGGGTGTGAACACAGGGCGCAGCGGTGTGTGATGAAAGAAGAAAGCTGATGAAGGTCGTGCTACGGAAAGGGCTCTCTTGGGTGGGTGGGTAGTATGAGGTAGTGTAGTAGTGCACAGCGCACAGTGCTCAGTGCACCAGTAGCGAGGAGTGGGCTGGGCGGCCTGGCACAGTAGCAAACAAGCTAATGATAGTAGTATGTAGTAGGCGGGCAGTGGGCAGTGGGCACGCACGGCGCCTGCACACATCGATGCCCTATAGTGAGATGCAACAAGCGACAAGCCGTCGTATCAGAGTGCTACTAAGCATGCTGTGTAATCTTCGGCATGATGAGATGCATCAGAGTTTGGCCGCCACAGCAAAGACTGAGGCGTATGTGTACCCAAGCCAAGGCCCCCGGACTACAAGAACGATGCCGGGGGTCAGTGTTTGGTGCTGCATCAGTGCATCGTCGACCTCCCACGGCCAGCCCTGTTCGTGAGGTGAGAGCTTACGCCTCTTGTCGTTGTTACTGTTGTTGTTGTTGGTGTTGGTGGCGGCGGTTGTGGTGGTGGTGGTGGAGGTAGTAGTGGTGGTTGGGTGGGCGCAAGGGACCCGCATGAACGAGGTACCTCCTAAAAGGTACTGTACTTACTGCATGTGTAGCAGTTGGAAGCGGAACTCCCACCATCGGGAGCCAGTGGCAGTGGCAGTGCGCACTGCGTGCAGCCGGATGTGCCCATTCCGACAGAATGGTTAGAGTGCAGTAGCGCCAGCGACCATGCTGCTGCCGGGGCTGGTCGTTGAGCGATCGGGGGAGGGTGGACCGTGGCAGACAAGACAGCAGACTAGGCCCGGCCTTTGACACTCATTCGGCATCCATGCCCATGCCGCTGCCACGGAGGCAGTGCCCGCGACCATGCGATAGGGACTCGAGGACCAACGGGAGTGTCCACTGGACCACTAGACCACTGGACCACTGGGCCAATGGGTCACTGGGCCACTGAGAACCACAGTCTCGCCTGCCTGTCGGCTTGCACGAATGGCCTGCCCTGTGTTGTGTTCGCAGTGCAGTGCAGTGGGTGCGGTGCAGACTACCTGCCTCCTCTACTGTGCAATACGGGAGAGGCAGAGAATGCATGTACATGTAGTGCTGATGTGAATAATACCAGGTACCTCAGATATCGAGACGCCCGCCAAGGCTGGAGGGCAACCGAAGCGTGAGAGGCAAGGCTAAGGTACAACTACCTACCTAGGTAAGGTAGGCCAAGGCACCTCGGTCAGATCAGGTCAGGTAGTTGCAGACTTACAGAGAGAGAGAGAGAGAGAGAGAGAGAGAGAGAGAGAGAGAGAGAGAGAGAGAGAGAGAGAGAGAGAGAGAGAGAGAGAGAGAGAGAGAGAGAGAGAGAG